AGGTCAGCGTCGAAAAGTGTTACCTTGACAGGCAAAATAAAAAAGAAAAAAAAACACTTTGCAATAGGCAAAACACACAAACCGAATGAAGGAAAAAGGGCACAGATGGGAAAATACGAATAATCATAAAATCAAAATTATGTCCCTTCCATCCTCCACTAGTGCGTAAGCACAGATGACTAACCGAGGAGGGTTAAAGGAAAAAGAGTACATATGTGAAAAAAACAAAAAAAACGGAAATAGAAAAAAAAACACAAAAAAAGCGCACAATGCATAATGATGGCTCCTACCTAATCCACTTCTGGAGGTTGGTAACGAGAAAACAATGTTATCACTTCCCCAACAGCTATGCCCTCAGGATTCCACTGAAGAATGACACTGGCGCCTTCCCGAAGCACCTCCGGATGGTACAGAAACTGAAATCGCACAACGCACCCCTTGTCGAACGCTGCAGCCTCTTTGGGAAACGGAGGAATAATCCTCACAGCCTGTCGCATATTGCTTGTGTAAAGAATTGGCTGCAACCGAGGTGTGATGCCCCGTGAGAGCACTTTTATACGTGCCTCAAATGCCCAAAAAACTTCAACAGAGGTTGAAATTAAGAGCTTTCCTTTCTGCGTCATGTCCACACTGCTTGGTAGATCGGATAAAGCAAACGTGGCCTCGTCAGGCGGCCGCACACGCGTGACATGTGATCCGCCCACATGAATTCCTTGAACTACTACGGGATAAAACTTCCCCTCCAAGTCCGGCCCAATACGACAATGACACCCCAACTCTACAGAACCGCTCGCCACGTGGCCACGCACAACGGGGCCGACGGAATGAACAAAAAAGCTCCCGTCGAGGAGAACCTCAAACTTTCGATCGGGTGTAACTGGCATAGCACCAGTGGGAAGGGAGGCTATAAAGTGTTTAAAGAGCTCGATGCCAGATCCATCCGCGGAGGAAACACGCAACACGGGAACTTGATTCGACTGCTTCCATAACCGCTGAAAGCTGTCAACGCCGTCGACATCCACCAGGAGAACGGAATCGCAACCTACCGACGACAGTTCAACCGCTAACTCAAGTAGAAAGGCATCAATCTCAATATCAAGTGCAAGATCGAGTTTGGTAACAACAACAAAAAAAGGAAAATGCATGGCACGACAGAGTTGTGCGTATCGTACGACTTCTTCCGCTGGTTGTTCTATAGAAATACATATGCCGGTGAAATCAGGACAACGGCTCATCAAACCAAAAAGCATTCGTTTTGTTACATCTCCGCCGAGATCTATCATTGCAAGCGAGCGTGAAGTGCCATCGATGCCTGTTGATTGAAGAAGAGCATTATTCCCACTTTTTCCTTCACCACCATCTATGGAAAGAGTCCGAGCTACAATAGAGGTTGTTTTCCCCGTAAAAATTTCATGTTTGTGATTAAAAAGTAGTTGACGTGCGCTGCCCGCACCATCGTCAAGATGTCCAGTGAGCAGTACACCAATAAGCGTGGACTTTCCGCTGCCCGCAATCCCACAAAATGCAATTTTTCCATCCTGCACTTCCGCCTGCCGCTGCGTCATGAGAATCTCACCACACCAAAGTGGAACTGGATTCGACTGCACCAAAAATTCCTGTAAAATGGTAAAATCAAGACCAAGTGATTTCGCCATTCTTTGCAGTGTCCTCACCGACTCCTGGTAGTCATGTAGTAATAGTCCCCTTGGTGAACCGTCATTGGCGATACCGAGTTCATAAAGACATTGTCCGTTTCCCTCCCTCACACGAAAGCGCAGTTGCGTCACGAGGTGCTCAAATCGGCTTGGGGTAACGTTTGTAAGTCGCCACTTGTACTCCACATCGCCTTCATCGTCCTCCTCCGTGAGGCAACCGCAGCCTTTCGAGTCAGCTGAAACAACCCTTGCCAGCCGCCTGTGGAGATCAAATGTTGCATCGGCACGCTTCTGGAGGGCACGCTCTACTAAACGCTCGACGGTTTGTGGTGTACGCTCCTCCATACCACACGCACCATCAACTCCTTCCAATTCGCATGGCGATAGCGATTCCTGATTTACTTGGTCATCGTTCATTGTTGATTTGCACTCTTCCTAGCTTGCCTGCCTCTATGTGTCTTTCGTCGGTGAGGATGGCAACTTCCTCCCCCCCCCCCTTTTTTTTTTTGCAGCTCGAAACCTCAAACCCACTATAAGGTGCGGGCCGTTGTGTGTATGGGGTGTTAAAAAACGAGAAAGAGCAAAAAAACAAGACAAAAAAAAAGGAAAAGAGTAAAAGTTTGGAGAAGCAGAGACAAAGTGAAACAAAATACAGGACAATAAAAAACAGAAAAACAAGAGGTCACACCACATACACGTCCGTAGCTGTGCGTATGCACTGCAGTACAAATACATGCATGCATGGCAAGCCGTGGAGGCTCGACGTTCCTGTCGCCCCATTCATCCATCTTAGCTCAAAGCATAAAGTCTTTATATATATATATATATAACCAGTAACGCACAACAAGACCATAAAATATGCGCATCTCATACTTCTTAGAACACACCTCACTGCTTATCTAGTTACGTTGCACTGGACGGCAGCTGCAACAAGGCAGCACGATACCTATGACATAGAATGAAGAACAATTTGCGGACCACCTCAATTTCGTTTGAAAGTGGCATTCCTTCCAGCGCCTCCTGTACAATTGGTGAAGTCGCATCAGCGCCCAAAATGCCTCGTGCCAGTAAATACACATCTGATAAAATATTTGTGGAGTGCACTCGAAGAGGATCTCTTAATGTAGATGCATCCCGGTAATTTCGCAACAGCACCTCCATAAGTGATAGCTGCACCTGTAAGGCCTCCACAATGCATGAAGATACCATATCTTCTTTGTCTTTCCGCAGTAATTCATTTGGGGCACCACTCAACCAATTTGACGTCCCGTAATAATTAGATGACAAAGGATTCGGCAAAGCGGATTGCACTGTTGATCCATCCGTAGAGCTGTTACGCAACCGCGTTGTCTCCAAGGAGAAATCCTCGGGCGGTTGTAATAAACGCCGCAGCGGCGAGTGCCTCAAAGAAGCATAACTCATCACCGGCAGTGGTGTTTTCTTCATGTTTTCCTCCCCCCTCTGCTGCTGCTGTTGCTCCTGCTCTTTCTCATCCTCCTGCCTTGGTTCTTCCATGCATGGGCTCATACAGCGCAATGGCGCTTGGGTACTCCTATGCAATTGTGCACTGGTAGAGAAGACGGCTTGCTGCCCCGATGGGTTGTCGCTTGTACCCACAATTTTGTCCGTTCTCATTGTGTGTAGAGAACAACAACAACAACGCCCCTCTCCGTTCACCTTGGAGTTCAGCTTCGTCGCGCAACTCGCCAGCACCGCGTTTTCCTTTCTTAAAGAAGTCAATTTTGCTTCGCACGGGTCCTTTACATTTTGCCCTGTCATTTCTAGTTTACTCAGCCTATCAAACAACAGATCGCGTTGCTGCTGTGCCGCCATCAGCTGCATTTTTAGATCCACCACCATGCAACTGTTATCAACAGTCTCGCCTGGCACTTGCACGGAGACCGAAGTTCGCGTGCTCTGATGGGAACCTTGCACTTCAAGTTTGCTTCCTTTTCGTGGCAGTCCACACGCACCCACGCGAGTGACGAGGGCACTTTGATAAATCTTTCTAAGATCAGTCTCGTCGGAGGTGGCACACTCCTGCCATGAGCGGGGCTCAGCCCGGGGGTGCGGCAAGTCCTCCGGCGTTAGCTGCATACGACCAGGGAGAACAGGTGGTAGAGTTGAAAGAACGCCCGCCGCGGCATCCGGCTTGTTCTGTGGCTTCCAATGCAAAATGTGGGCTGCGTCGGCCCCACAAGCCAGCACCTCCGTGTCACGAATGGAGCACAAACACCGTGGCACACTTGAACCCATGTCATCGTCAAGAACGCCGCATTCCAGAATCATTAAAAAACTAGGTACTTCATGCCAAGCCCAGAAAAACACCTCTCGCGTCGCACTTACAGTACATAACCCCACACACCACGGTACATACGTCATGGAGCAGATTTCACCAGCGTGTTCAAAGTGTTGTCCGAGTTGCGTCCCATCCTTCGCTGACCACAAAATAATATCCCCATTTTCTAATCCACTTGCCACCATGGATTTGCGTGAAGGATGTGATAGTAATGCCAAGGCCGTCACACAACACGTCCCCGCCGTTCTAAGGTTAAGCAATGGATCGATATCCGATTCAATACCTTTTCTATCTACTAAGACAAGAGCACCGCTTGTGCAACCAATCCAAACCGTCGCCTCTGTCAGGAGCAACGAAGACACATCTCCAAGCGCGGTATGCACGAATGTTGTCTGGGAACCAAATATGCGATGGAAGACGCAACACTCTGCCTGCTCTTCGATATTACTGGCATTGGCTACATGACCAATGGCAGACCAAAAGACCACTTCCGGAGAGTCATCGTTAATAACTGCAGCGAGCGAAGTTCCGTCGGTCTGCAACTCTCGTATACCTGGGATGCCGTCCAGCCGTAGATTGTACAGAAACTGTAGATGAGCATGTCTACCCTCACGACGACGGGCTCGGTAGCACTGAACAGTATTTGATGCGCCAAACCATGCCAGTGAGTTGTGTTGTGTGGTTTCATAAGCTGTTGCAACACATGACACCTTCATGGGGCGTTTACGCATAAGAAGCACGCCAGGGTCCTGCGGTGACCATGCCGTGACACTTCCGTCCGGGTGCACAGCCAAAAGCACCAGTTCCCTCGTGTCAAGAAGTTTTACTGGCGCAATGGAAACCACCATGTCTACCAAGGGACGAGAGGAACTACGCATAATAACATCGGTGACACTCACTAGCGATAATGACAGAGTTGTTTCCAATGGAACAGCCCTCAATCTATACACTGCATACAACAAAAACAAACAAACAAAAGCTAAGAAGAAAGAAAGAGAGGGAATATATATATACATATATGCTCCAACATCCGCTACTCATTACACTCAATAAAGTAATAGCGTCAGAGGAGGTTTTTATTTGGCCTTGCCCCCTCCACTTCCACTTTTTCAAAAATAATTCCGAAATATCCCACAGGAGACCATTTATGAAAATAACAAACGAAAGGTTAGCTGCTCAGGCTCAAACTGCTCTCTCTCTCACACACTCTTTAGCGCCCTTTTTCGTTCTCAACCCGCTGTCGTGCGCTTTAGATGCGGCTGGGGTACAGGTAAACGCGAACACGCTTGCCAATCGCCGATGCAGGGACGGGGGAACCGTTAAACTTCACGCGAACGGAGCCGGAGCCACCATGGGGGCGTGTCACACGGCCCCAGATGGCGCGGGTGTTGCTGCGGCGGGCGGGAGCCTTGCTCCAGCGTACGCAGCGCTTTACCTTGTAGCCGTGGTAGACGTAGCACACCCGCTTGCCAACATACCATGTGGCATCTTCCTTTGTGTTAACGTTTTCAATACGGACGATGGCGGTGTTCTTGTTCTGGCCGTGGAGACCACGAGTGTATCCCGCAAGAACGGCCTTCATGTAGAGACGGGGAGATTTGCGGTTGCGCTTCACTGTGGAGGTCTTCTTTGTCAGCTGATGAATCTTCTTGCTGCGGTTCGCTGCGAGAGAACCGGCGAACTTCTTTGACATGGCCATTTGTTCTTTCTTAACGAGAAGAGTTGGGTGTAAACGCGTAAGCCTAGCTGCTGTCAGTAAACGCCGAAGGAAACCCAAAAAGTAAAGGGAGACAAGGAAAAAAAAAAAAGATTCAAATAATGGCAACATAAATAATACCACAACACAAGAGAGAGAGAGAGGAGGGAGGGAGAATGAACACTCCAGTTGCGTTGCCTCCAGTCAAGCACAAGTACATCAATAGTCAACAATACACCGCATGTTGCTATACACGACGACAACTGAATCATGGACAAAGTTATTCAGACGCATAGACAACATCGTAAAAAAAAAAACAACAAAAGAAAAACGGGAAACTCACCCCTGTTTTCTCACGTAGAGGTGGGACGGCTCAATATCCCCAGTTTTTTTCTTTTTCATTCTTCGTTTTTTTTAAATATCTTATTCCGTGTTTATTTGCCTTCTCCTGCACATCCCAAAGTAAAAATACAAAGTGGCGCCCACACCCATTTCACTAAGCACCACCTCCACCACGTTTTGTGTTCTCCACACACATCCCCAGCCCCACAATACTCGCCGACGCCCATATCAAACACCTTTTTCACATTCACCTCTCTATGACCTTCTCCAACTTCTACAAAAAGGAAAGAGGAGCCACTGAGAATCCGTGCGCATTTGTAGCATCTGCAGGGCTGAAAAGGAGAGCGACAAAGCCTCGACTTTCGATGTTGACAATGGCAATGAAAATGATTCCGCAAGAATGTATCACGGAAACAAATTCTTATTGAAACAAATCGTTCGGCGCATGTTGTTAGCTCTCTTGTTTTGTTTTGTACTGTTTGTATTTCAGTCGGCCTTGTCCTCCCTCTACGCTGCATTGTCTTTCCTTTTTCAGAACAGCAATGCTACATACTTCCTCCATCCCTCGCTGCGCTCCCTCGTGAAGTGAAGCTAAAGCTCCAAATGTGCTGATGTTATCGTTTTTCCTTCTTCTTCACTGGGACTTTCCCTGCTTCCTTCACACCCTCCCTCATACTGGCTGACGCTGATGCCAGAGCCGTAGCCGCTAGTAAAACGCACAACTCCGCCTTGCGGAGTCGACTTGTTTAATTCAAGCGCTGTCGAGTACAACAACGGCACTCTCTCCTGCATGTTCACCGCCTCCGCCTCGTATCCCGCTAGTTCCACCGCGCGGTTGCGACGCTGCTTGTAAGCAAAGCGAAGAAACAGACCCACGGCCAGCCCGAGATACATCAACCCCGCATTACGGCACGCCCTTGCCTTCTCGTCCAAGTCCCACTCGTTAATTACGGCCACGATAGCAAAGGATTTGATGCGGATGTGCATCAACCACGACACAAAAAATGCAGTCAGTGCATTAAGACACGAAAAGGCGATGTACGCGTACACCTTACCCGACATTGGCTGTAAGGATAAGTAAATTCTGCGCAACAAAAAAAGGAGGGAATAAAAGAATGTTGATGCAAAAGCAAAACGCAGAGATGAACACCACCTGAAATGCCAGGCTGCCCAGCACATTATTATTATTATTATTTTAAGCTCTTTTTCATACTGTTTCTCCTCTTCACTCACCTCATCTCTACTCAGCAGTGACGAACAAGCGACACCATTGCCAAGTGTACCAGTGACAGTAGGAAGAACCACACTGGCCAGTGCCAGGCACTGCCCTGCCAGCGTCGTTGCATGAATATGTCACGCGTGCACGCATGCATAGGTGACTCTACATGCACCCCCCCCCCCCCCCCCCCCCACAACCAGGCAGGTAGCAACAACAACAACAACAACAGGTACATTTTACACGTGAATCTTCGCCTCCCACCCCACCCAGCCGCTTCTACTCTTTCCCTTAATATTCATTTCATAGTTCCCGGCCTCCGCCGCCACCACCTCCCCACTGCCCTGCAGAAACCCACATGACAAGGTATAACATACTTGTTACAGAGGCCCATGGGCAAATAACACTGAAAGAATATATATATATATAATATATATATACGCAGAAAAACCAGAAAAGAAATAAAGAAATTCCGGGGATTCGCCTCGAACAAAGAAAAATAGCTTTATGCACACAAACTAGCATTCCGGCAATTCCTCTCCTTCGGAATCACTTTGTTTGAACAGGAGAAGTCGCCGCTGTTCACGCGGCACGACCTTGCGACAATTCTGGTGAGCGTGAAACCGAACTCTGCAGAAAATTGCATGACATTTACCACGCAACAGACTCCAAAACGGCGCAAAAAAAACAAGAAGGAGGAACACTAAAAAAAACAGCCCAGCACGGCGACAAGCCTTCGCCTTGATGCGCAAGTCCCAGCCACGCTCCACCGCCGGAACGCGGAAGACGACTAACGCTGTTGAATCCATCATCCACGCAAATAAAAACGCACACACCGCGTTTAGCGTGCAGAAGGCCAACAGGGTCGCTCGGAGGACTGAGAATGCACACCACTGACATGATGCAATGGCCGACCCCGCCCCACTAAACATATATATATATATATATATATATATATATATAGTGGT